TTCTAACCACCTGAAGACCAAGCCTTTTTGTTCACATGAAAAAAAATCTGTATTTTTTGCTAGGAAATTAATTTAAACCTCCAAACATTATATATATTTTTTTTAAAGCAGACACCCTAGTGAATAAAATGGTGGGTACTACAATTTTTTATGGCACATAGTACTCGTGCAGCAATTTTTCAAAAGCAAATTTAAAAAAAAAAAAAAACACTTTTTTTTTACTTTTAATACACAAAAACACAATATATTGGCCAATTATTTCGTAACATATAAAAGATAATGGTATGCCGAGTAAATACATACCAAACATGTCATGCTTTAAAACTGCGCATGCCCCGTGCAATGGCGACAAACTGCAAACATTTTTAATATCCATAGGCAATGCTTTAAAAGCCACCATTTTAGATTTAGAGGAGCTCCAGTGTTAGAATTACTGCCCTTGATATGACATTTACGGCAATACCTCACATGTATGGCGCAACCGCTGTTTACATACCGACACAGGGTCAAGGCTTGTGCACACAGGTGTGCGTGCATGGGAGGGGCGATTTTTTTATTTTTACATTTGTACCTTTTTTTTCATTTTTTTTTTTTTTTTTAAATATCCCCTATAACTTCAATGGGCATTGTCATATATTCTTTTTTGAGAAATCTGGGGTCTATCAGACTCTAGTTATCTCCTCTGCCCTTACATTATCTAATCAAACCAAAATCGGTGTGCTCAGATGCTTTCCCAATTTACAAATGGCGCTGTTTATATCCTGCGAAACTGAAGTGATGAAATGCTTGTAGCTTCCGAATTCTTAGGCTATAGAGATAATCTGCACCACTCTGGTCTCCAATCAGCTCTATGGTCAGCTGGCAGAAACACCGGCTGCATTCTCAGGTTCCCCCGATGGCACGAGACTGCGCAAGAAGGCTGTGGAAGGCAGTGGTGGAGGGGTGGCATCATCTCCTGCTGCTTGTAAAAAAGCAATCTTGCAGCTAATTAGCCACTAGGATTGCTTTTACATGAAAGACGATCGCCGGCTGAAAAAAAAAAAACGATACAAGGATGATGCCTGCAGCTATAGGCATCATCCTGGTATAACCATTCAAAGTCCAGTGATGTACCAGTACGACGCTGGTCCTTGTTGGGTATATATACTATGTTCTTTTTTTTATTTTTTGTATGCAGCCTGTGGACTGAATGACAAAAATGAGACAAAATCTCTGCCAGAAAAAGTGTGTGGTATGCCCACCATTAGAATATACCGCCCTGCATCCACCCACTTCTAATGGTGGGCACACATTAGGCCACACTTTGCCACAAGCGCCAGTTCCAAGATTGAATAAATGTCTAAATAGTGGCACGCTTGAATAAAAATTGTCCACGTATAAGTGGTACCCCATATGGAAAAAGGATGACACCAAGTCCCAAACTATCTTGTCACTGCTCCCCACGTAGTCTGGGCATCCGGGGGGCTCCACGTGACTATCTTTTCCCTCGTAAATCCAAAACTTATAAATATAGCCTGTCGTCCTCTCACAGGTCTTCTACATCTTGACCCCATATCTGGCACGCTTGCTGGGGAGAAATTGTTTGAATGCAAGGCGGCCATAAAAAATTAATCGGGGACTCATCAACGCAGATGTTTTGCTGGGGAGTATGGACATCTGCAAATTTTTGGTTAAGGTGATTTGCGAGGGGCTGAATTTTGTCGAGCCGGTCAAATTCAGGGTCACCCCGAGGATGACAGAGTGTATTGTCGCTGAAATGCATAAAACACATTATACTCTCATATCTATGCCTGGCCATGGCAGCAGAGAACACGGCATATGATGAATTGGGTCTGCGGACCAATACAACCGCAATTCATTTCTTTTCTTTCAGTAATGCCCATGCTGAGGGTTAGGCCCAAAAAAAATGTAAATTTGAAAACCATAATGAGTTTCCATGCGACTGGTCTGGCAAGGTTTGAATTTGGGTTGGCGGCAATAAATTGTTGTGCATATAAATTGCTTTGTTCCACAATCAACGCATTCCGTGAAAAACAGCTCCAAAAATCAAGGAGGTATGTGAAAGACCAAGATGTACTAGACCTCTGGTACTCGCCAGTTCACAAAAGGTAGAGCGGCACTAGTACTGGCACTCTGCTGCATATGAGAGTCATCAAAATTTACCGGAGAGCAAATCGTGTGGGCGCGCGTGTGGGTGGTGGGCGCGATTTTGTGCACCCATGCCGCCCTGTAGCAGTATTTCTGCTATAGGGCGGTCAGGAAGCGGTTACAGAAGAGGGTTGTGTTACGGCGCTGCGTTACTTTAACTGACAATTGCGCGGTCATGCAACACTGCACCCAAATTAAATTTACGTCCTTTTTTTCCCACAAATTGAGCTTTCTTTCGGTGGTATTTGATCGCCGGTATTTATTTTTTGCGCTATTAAAAAAAAAAAAAAAGGCTGACAATTTTGAGGAAAAAAAAACAATATTTTGGACTTTTTGCCATAAAACATGTCCAGTAAAAAAAATGTAAAAATCAAATTTCGTCATAAATTTCGGCCAAAATGCATTCTGCGACATGTCTTTGCTAAAAAAAAAAAAACCCAATACGTGTAAATTAATTGGTTTATGTGAAAGCTATAGCGTTTACAAATGGCGGGAAAGATACTGGGATTTTTATATATATATTTTTTTTATACTAATGGCGGCGATCAGCGACTTATGGCAGGACTGCGGGACTGCGGCGGACATTCTGACACTGGGGGGGAACTGACTTGGGGTCACTGACATCCCCAGTGACACCAATACAGTGATCAGTGCAAAAAAAAAAAAAAAAACACTGACACTGTACTAATGGCACTGGGGAGGAAGGGGTTAACTTTTTTATTTACTGAAAGGGTTAACTGTGTGAGAGGGGAGTGTTTTTACTAGGGGGCGGAGGGTGTGTACTTCACGGGAACACGCTGATCCGGAGAGATATTCTCTTCTCTCCGGATCAGCATGTCAGGAGCTGACAGGGAACTGACAGAAAGCAGAGCTGCAGTGTAAACACTGCAGCCGTGCTCTCTGTCAGTGATTGCCGCTATTCGCCGGGACATGGCAGGTAATGACCGGCCGTGACCCAGCGACTGACACCCGCAGCCGCGATCGTCGGCGGAGGTAGGGCGGTGGTGCGCCCCCTACCTGTTTTGCAAAAGCACGTTTTAAAACGTGGCTTTGCGCAGCCGTGCCGCCCTGCCACCGTATTTGTACAGTGGCTGGTTGGCAAGAAGTTAATTTGTCTCCGTACAATCGGAAACCACAATATTATTACGTCTGTATAGTTCAATTTTTTTAAATTTTTTATTTTGTATAAAAATGCCTCTTGTCACATCGCTGCAAAGCCTCTGGCTCTATTACTCATAGTGGCTGTTGGGGGTGTCCACAGCCTCCCTAGGATCATCATTACTGGAAGTTATGTACCTAGCGGAGCTGCAGCACATGGTGCCGATGGCCAGATGGGACAGGGGCTGAACTAACAGCTGTGCTGAATTTACACGGTCCGACAACAGTTTAAGGTAGTGCCTGTGAGCTGCCACTTTCGACTGCATAAGCACACCACTGTCAGCAACGATTAGGAGATTGCTGATTGTCTAGCCTGCTGTCTCTAATCTAGACCATTAGCAATTAAGAAAATGCATAATATATTAGTTTAAGTTGTTAGACATACTAATCAAAGGCACATTTTGATTTTTGACTTCTTGCTTCTTCCTGACACCAGCTGCCTACTGTAGTGTTTACAGCCTTCTTGAAATATTGTGTAGGGCTGCTTTGGCAGTAATTCTTGAAGACTTGAATTGAGTCATAGGTTCCATAGTGTGTTACTGCACAGCCAGCACCAGACCTCCTTGGCCATACACACTAGAGGAGGTCACGGCTGTTTGGAAGGGGTAAGTAGGCACTTAGGCTGTGGGACTAAAGGATGTACACATAAAAATAACGTAAACAAACTTTTTTTTTATAGAAATTTGTGTATCAAAACATTTTTTAAAAAAAAGCTGTTATTGCTGGCCTCTCCATCTGGCAGTGCTCATTATCTGGCTATCCTGTTGGGGATGTCAGAAAATCTAAATACTGAAGCTACTATCATTTAGATGTGGTGGCAGCTTATTCTACTATCTCAGTAGAGGTTTAAATTTAATTTGAGCCTAACATAAAAATAACATAAGCTGCACCATTACCTGACAGGCCATTGGTGCTGCTCCTCTAGGCCTCTTGCACGCAGGGACATCTAGGAGCTGTGTATCTCTCCCTTTTGTTTTAGTGCCCCTGGGAAGGGCAGGTGCAGTGTTCAGCTCTGCTGTCAGCGTGTCTGAGACTGACAATTTTCGGCTTGATGGGACTGAACGCTTTACTGAGTGGTACCTGTGTTTAAGGCCCTGTGCATTGGGGGATGCACTGCACTTCTAGACAGCCCCATGTGCAAGGGACCCTATAGTGATAGATCAATAGGATGGCTTGATAGGGGAAGAATGTAGTAGCTGACATTTGGTAAATTATTTGTACTTCTAGATTTTATAAATGTTTCTGGCCTTCTTTAATATAGCAAAATGATCTTTTATGTGTAAATTAGAATAACACTTTTTTTTTTTTTTTAATTTTCTGTTTTTCTGACCTAAATTGCTGATCTGTTGTGCACATTAAAAATACACGTGGAACAATATCATGATTTCTGAAAAGGTACAGCTGCAGTACAAATGTACAATGGAATCTCCCAATTCACATGTATAGAAACCAACAAAAGGTGTTCACTCCATGTGACTGGCAGGCATGGAGAGAAAAAAACATGACAGAAGATTTATCTAGAGAAACATTGTGTATAAATTCTGTGCTGAGTGAGTTGATTACCTGCGGAGGTCCACATGCCATAGGTGCTTCAGGACCAAAGTTGTGTCAACACTTCTAAACTGCATGTGCTGCTCATTGGACTACATTTATCCTTTGGATGCCTCAGTGACATTTTTCTTTCTTGCCTGCAGGCAGATGCAGATAGTTTTTATATATCAAGCAACGGACGTCAGTTTAACTCTATAGAAGAGGATGTTTGTCAGCTGGTCTACGTAGAGCGAGCAGAAGTTTTGAAGTCTGAAGATGTGAGTATGTTTCTCTTTATATAGCCTACATGATCTTAATGTGCTAAACTTGAGCGTGAGCTTAAAACCAAAGCAACATCAAAACTGTAGCGGAAATACAGAGAATAGACCTAATTTTATAAAGCTTTAACATTTTTGCTTTTATTGTTTGCAATCATTATTGTTTCGTGAATTAAGATTTTTGTAGTCCTGAAGGAAACAAATTACTTGAGATATGTGCTTTGTCGCTATGAATAAACTGTTTTTATGGCCCTAATTTATCAAGCTGCAAAAGCACTTACACAATGTACTAAGGCGACATCTCAAGCAATGTCCGAATGTTACTTATGGGTCAATTAGCATGCTTTTAGTGTTGCTGCAACGTTTTGAATCAGACCCTTTCTTTTTACCTTTGACTTCCCCTTTGTGAGCAGAACTTTTATGATTTGTTGAACCATTCCATATTAACCTCCTTGTTTTTTTGTGTTTTTAACTTGAAACATCTTCTTGAAATTGTTTGATGTAATTTATTTGACATGTTGATCAATAGAAGCATATTTTGGGAACATGTGCTTCTGTTGACAAGGCAGGCAAAAAACTGTGTGCTAGATTATGATTATTATTAATTTTTTTTTTTTTTTTTATACAAATACTGCCTTTTTTCAAAGCCTTTATGCAATCCTTATACCAGTTCCTTGCCAGTCTACACCTGCTGCTGAAATCTTCAACATCTGACACTGCCCTGTGTATCAGATACCTGTGTCTCCACGATGTGAACTGTAGTCTCCATTCTCTGACCAGCCACTACATCCCTTGTTTGTTCCCTCAGAGCTGCAAACTAAGCAGCCATGGAGGGGGAGCTGCAGCAGAGATGCACTGGATATGTTTTGATACTGAATGGTAGTACTGAAAAGTGTCTTTCATTGTTAATTTATAAATCTTGTTAATGTCCTTGCTGTTATGGAAGAGTTGAATATTAAAAGGTATTTTTAGCTTCTGACAGGTACTGAGTTTTTAGTAAACTATAAAGTTCATCGAAATGTCAATTTCAGGGTGCCAGTCTGCCAGTTATGGATCTGACGGAGCTCCCTAAGTGCACCGTGTGCCTGGAGAGGATGGATGAGTCTGTAAATGGTATTCTGACAACTCTGTGCAATCACAGCTTCCACAGTCAATGTTTGCAGCGCTGGGATGACACCACGTAGGTGATTTTTATTATCTAACTGATTTCATTAAACTGGAGCACAGGAAATAGAACGGTTGCCCTTTGTATCTTTCTTTTAATCCTGATTGGTTAATATTGGTAACAGCTTTTTTTTTTTTTTTTTTTTTTTTTTGAGCACTAAAATTTCTCTTTGTAGCCATGAGAGAATGGTAAAGCAAATTTAATTATTTTTTCTAAAAGAAAAAAAACACGTTTCACTAATTTTATTACAGCTTGCATTTTTGCAGTTATAGCTACGTTTTTTTTTTTTTTTTTCCAATTTGGATTCTGTAAGGCAGTGTTTTTCAGCCTGTTTTCGGTCGGTCAAGGCACCCTTTAGAATTGCGCACCATTCTGCGGCACTCCAGTCTGAGGGCTCATTCACTAAGGAGGTGCGTCTGAGTGCGAGTTCTCTTTTTGTGTACTCCCACATGTTGCATTTTTAATTGGAGTGCTCTATGCTCGTGTAACATGCAAAAAAGATGGTGACATGATCCTTAAATTGATCCCCACCAAAATGCATGGCACTGCAGTACCATGCGTTTTTTAGTGGGTGCAACCATGCATGCAATTGCTGGATGCGTGGAGGTGGCATTAAGAATTAATGGCAACTGCAAAAAGCAACGCAATTTTTTTGTGTGCATTACCTTTCATGAAAAAGCCCTCAAATGTTTATAACGCAGAGTTAAGCATCCAGTAGGTTGCAAATCCCACCCCACCCCCTCCAAAATCCCCTATCCTAGCACAAACACACCCCCCCCCCCCCCCCCCAAATGCCCCCTTCTCCCACAAATTCCAACCCCCAATCCGATGATTAAAACTTACCTTGGTTAACTTCTGTGTACAGAAAGCAAGGGGAGCACATCCCGTTCCTCCTCCGGGCTCTCTCCCCTTCCCTGCTGCTATCTATTACTATTGCCATCAAAACCAAACATTCTGATGACGTCATTAGTTGGCAAGACTTGGGTGAGTGGCTTGCAGAGCTTTTAGTTTTCAGGCAATAGTATTAGATAGTAGCAGGGAGGGGGAGAGAGCCTGGATGAGGAACGGGATGTGCTCTCTGTACACAGAAGTTAACCAAGGTAACTCTCTTTGCGGCATCCCGGTTGAAAAACCCTGCTCTAAGGAAGCGCATTACAGTTGACTGGCTCAGTGGGAACATTTTATGCCTACTGCTGTGGGGAGGTTACTCTTCTTGTAGGAATGTTTTTTATTTCACTCTTTGTAGAATGATTTTTATCTGGGAGAAAATGTTGGATAGTCCAGAGGGAGATGCAACTTTTCAGTCTCTGAGAATTATAAAGAGGCTAGTAAGGGTTTCAGCCTATCATTTTCATATCCATCCCCCAACCCAAGGTAAGCAAGCACTTGTGTTGCATTTTGCAGGTTTTTATGAGTGTTTGTGCAGGTATTGTTATGTGCATTTTTGTGGGTGTCTGAGGCTTTGATTTTTTAATTATTTTTAGTTAATGGAAAGCTAGTTAATAGGGGAAAAAACATGCAATATGTGAATTTTCATGCATTTTTCATGAGCTTTCAGTGAAGCCTGTTGAGGCCAAAAAAAGATTGAAACTTATAGGTCAACAGAAGCTTGTATCATTTTTATCGAGCATTAGGCTACTCTACGCTTAGGTTTGAACAGGTACTGCTGAAAACCATAGGACATTGAAGGTTGAGCAATTTTGGAGCTTTGAACTACAAAGTGATTGGGTGTGAATATGGCCTAAAATTTTCTTGCTAATAATTTATGTTCGCGCAAGATTTTTGTAATTTTCCCAGGAGATGTAGCATGCATTCAGAACATTAAGGAAAATATCCGATAAATAGAATTATACAATAACCTATTTTCTTGACAGCATACATTGGGTAAGTGGGTAAGTGTTGCAAATAAAGATGTTTTTTTCATTTTCTGTCTTGTCTGTCAACAGAGTCACTTACACATCTTTGTACTGGTTGAAAATTGATTAAAGTAAAGCTGTCCATTCTGACCCTCTACCTTTATTACCTTTTAAGTCGTTTTAATGCAAATCAGGAAATCACAAGTCCTGATTTACTTCAGTGCTTTGCAGCAGCCTCCAAAAAACATGTTCACTTTTTTTCACTTAAATAATTAAATTTAAATCATATTTTTTTACAGGTAAAAAAATGTGCCTTTTTAAATCTTAGGAGCCTGCATTGTACCCATGGTTAGCAGCTCGCAGGTGCAATGGCAGGCTGCTTCAGACTGTCAGTACAGCTGTCTGCCCATACTTCCCTTAAGGTTGGCAATTACTGAAGTCCAGGAAAATCGATGAACTACAAGAGCACTCACCAGTGCCCTCGCAGTTCATTGAGAACTACAAGCCATCTGCTGTGGTGGAAGATGGTACTTGGAGTTCGTTCATTCACAGAACCCTGTGTGGGCAGTGTGCTGTCACAATGAGGGGTCGGGGTGTAGGCGGGTGCTTTACTAACATCTTACACCCTGAATATGGGTTTTACATTGTTACAGGTGAATTTATCCTTTGTAAAGGAATTCATTTTTGGAAGGAAATAAGTTAAATGTGTAGTGTGTTTCTCACAAAGAAATGTGAGGTCACGCACGAATTCCAACTACATATCCCAAAGAAGCTTAAGGGCCTGTGTGCATAGGCTTTGTTCATGTTCGAACAGTATCTCATGCCACACTATACCAGACTAACTACCCTCCACTTATTCGATCCATAGTTACTCCTTTACGCACATGGACCCAATATCAAATCTCTTGGATGGGGAGGCTAATCTCCATCAAGATGGCATTTCACCTGAAATTTCTATACTGTTTTGAAGTGTTGCCTATTTCCGTGCTGATGACAGTGTGGTGTGACCTTCAAAATAAAATTCTGAAATTTATATGCAATGCGACCCAGCCTAGGGTCAGTACTGTATCAACACAGTCAGTGGTGGCCTAGGAGTCTCATGTACTCCATTATACATTATTACATTTATTTGCTACAGCCGAAATTCCTGTTCGGACGTTATCAGATGTGCTCGCTAATTTAGCTCCCGCCTGTTTATTGACGTTCACCCTTGCTCCTTCATTGAAACACTCTCTTAAAGTATGAGCCTCCATTAAGTATTTGAGTGGTCTATCACTTACCATGTCTCCTCACTTACCACTGTTTAAGTTGATTCGCAGTACAGTGTTTTCCCCGGGATTCAAAGCCCCTCTAGATTCCAGTGGTGGACCCCTCCTTACCTCCAACGGTATTAAATCAATAGATTACTTTAAAGAGAATTATGAGGAGCCCCAAGGGAAATGTTTCATTATATACAACTCTGGCATTATGTTAATACTTTTGTCAAACACAAACATCCTAGCTGTTTTCACGTGGTTCAAAAGCAAATGTCGCTCCAATCCTCATTCTCCAGGCCTCATTCTGCATGTATATGCCTCCCTAAGTCACCAGTCAAACCACTGCAATTTATGTGCAATTTCAGGTGCAGTTTCTGAAGACTTTATTGCTACTGGTGAAGATTTTCAACAATTTCTTGCAATTTGCAGTGCGATTTCCATTATATTCTATGTATGTTAAAATGCAAAAAAACTGCAGAAAAAATAATGTAAGAACTACTTTAAAAATCGCTCCAGCAAATGGCACATGTTAGGACACTGACATTCACCTTCATTAAATGCGATTTTAGGGGCAATTTCAATTCGCAAATTGCACGTGAAATTGCCCCCGTGTGACTGGGCACTAAACTCTTCCAAAATCAGTCAAAAAGAGAAGTACATGCTGTGTTGCGAGGAGGAACTGTGTGTCATTATCTGGGAGGAAGACCACTAGTTCTAGTTTAGAAAACTCTTATAAACTCTTTGATGTATTAGTACCTGATCCCCTACTGCATATTTAAATATGTTCCCGGGTACTCTTCCCTTTGCTTTAGGAGATGTGGGCAGGAGGGATTGATGGTACACATGTGGTGGACATGTCAGAAGATACAAAGGCTGTGAATTAGAGTTTATTTCCTGATAAAATTGTCCTCCAGTGCAGTTTATGTAAGGATCCAGTTGAGGTTTTTTGAATAAGCCCATCCTGGCTATACATCAGAAAATGGCATAACTAATTGGCTTTGTTATTAATGGCACCAAACTATTGCACACTCCTGGAAGTCCCTGTCACTGAATTTCCAGGATGTCATTTGTTATGATGGTTCCTTGAGGATCCGTATTCCTGTCGGAAAATGCAATAAACCTTTTCGTTTAAAAAAAAAAAAAAAAAAAGAATTTCCAGGAAGTGAAAACCCATTTGAATTGTTGAAAATTAACAGCCATTGTAGAGGATAAACGTGACCTATTTCTGAAAATTTGGACCCCGTGGATAAATTCCTTGCAACCTGACCTGATTTTTTAACCCTCGTTATGGAATAGTGCAATATCAGGTGCCCAAGAAGAGGAAATGACCTCCTCCACCATTTCTGTGCAGCATCCCTGGCACATCTTCTTCCTCCCTCTCTTTCCTCTATTTCTATCTATCCCTTCTCTGTTTCTCACACGTTTTCTAACTAATGCTACTGGTTAATTGTCACACCTAATCAAAGCAGGACTGTGAGAACCAAATCTTGCTACAACATAGCCTCCTTACAGCAACCATATACAGGGGTTCAGAGGATGGAGGATAATATGTAGCGCTTTGATAGGGCTGAAAGCGGGGTCTTGTTAATGTTTTCCAAAATATTTCAAACCTTCATAATTAAAAATATATATTTCCCTACCCTTCTAATTTACAACGTATTGTTTTTTTCTGGGATTAGAGAAGGTTTTTGTTTACCCACATAGTATTCATTGAAAATATTGTTCCAATAATAATATGAGGTAATTTAAATAATATTGTTAGCATAGGAGAGGATAGGCAAAAATTGAATCCTAAATTTTGGGTATCAATCTGAATGCTACGAAAAAAGCCAATGCAGCCTGAGGGCAGGCTCAATACATACTTGGCTAATACAACACTTTAATAAATGTTAATTGTACAGTACATGTCATTAATGTAAACTACAAATGTGTGTAATAAAACAAAATCAGTGTTTTTGATGGAGTTATCAAGTCATCCTTTTGTCTAAGCTTACAATAATTAAATCACTCACATGTTCCAGATTTCTATGTAAAAAAACATCTCTTTGTTACAGATGTCCGGTGTGTAGATACTGCCAAACCCCAGAACCAGTGGAGGAAAACAAATGCTTTGAATGTGGTGTACAGGAAGTAAGTTGATATTTTGGGACTCTGCGTAGAACACACTGAGCAAATTGTTCTGCCTCAAAATTGATGTATGCATCGTGAATAAAAGAGCTCATTTTAACTCCTAATGTCAACACCAAATATAGCTGTCATCATGAACATGTATACAGTGCCTTGCGAAAGTATTCATACCCCTTGCAATTTTCCACATTTTTTCATGTTACAACCAAAAATGTAAATGCCTTTTATTTGTATTTTATGTGATAATTTAACACAAAGTAACACATAATTGTGAAGTGGAAAGAAAACGATAAATGGTTTTTGAAATTTTTTACAAATAAATATCTAAACAGTGTGATGTGCAGTTGTATTCAGCCCCCTTCACTCTGATACCCCTAACTAAAATCTAGTGTAACCAATTGCCTTCAGAAGTCACCGAATTAGTAAATAGAGTCCACCTGTGTGTAATTTAAATTCTGTATAAATACAGCTGTTCTGTGAAGCCCTCAGAGGTTTATTAGAGAACGTTCGTGAACAAACAGCATCATGAAGGCTTTGGAACACACCAGACAGGTCAGGGATAAAGCTGTGGAGAAGTTTAAAGTAGGGTTAGGTTACAAAAAAAAATATACCAAGCTTTGAACACCTCACGGAGCACTGTTCAATCCATCATCCGAAAATGGAAAGAGTATGGCACAACTGCAAACCTACTAAGACATGGCCGTCCACCTAAACTGACAGGCCGGGCAAGGATAGCATTAATCAGAGAAGCAGCCAAGAGGCCCATGGTAACTCTGGAGGAGCAGGGAGAGATCCACAGCTCAGGTGGGAGAACCCACAGGACAACTATTAATCGTGAACTCCACAAATCTGGCCTTTATGAAAGAGTGGCAAGAAGAAAGCCATTGTTGAAAGAAAGCCATAAGAAGTCCCGTTTGCAATTTGTGAGAAGCCATGTGGGGGACACAGCAAACATGTGGAAGAAGATGCTCTGGTCAGATGAGACCAAAATTGAACTTTTTGGCCTAAAAGCAAAACACTATGGGGTTGATTTACTAAAGGTAAATATGTTGTGCACTGCAAGTGCAGTTGCTTTAGATCCAAGGAAAATCTCTGAAATGAGGCAAAGCTCTGCTGATTTCTTTCATCCAATCATGTGCAAGCAAAAATGCTGTTTTTTTTCTTTTTTGTTTGTTTTTTTTCCTTGCATGTTCCCCTCAGATCTAGAGCAGCTACACTTTCACTTCACTTGCAGTGCACAGTCTATTTGCCTTTAGTAAGTCAACCCCTATGTGTTGTGGAAAAGTAACACTGCGCATCACCCTGAATGCACCATTCCCATTGTGAAACATGGTGGTGGCAGCATCATGTTGTGGGGATGCTTTTCTTCAGCAGGGACAGGGAAGCTGGTCAGAGTTGATGGGAAGATAGATGGAGCCAAATACAGGGATATCTTAGAAGAAAACCTGTTAGTCTGCAAAAGACTTGAGACTGAGGTGGAAGTTCACCTTTCAGCAGGACAACGACCCTAAACATACAGCCAGAGCTACAATGGAATGGCTTAGATCAAAGCATATTCATGTGTTAGAATGGCCCAGTCAAAGTCCAGACCTAAATCCAATTGAGAATCTGTGTCAAGACTTGAAAATTGCTGTTCACAGACGCTCTCCATGCAATCTGACAGCTTGAGCTATTTTTCAAGGAGAATGGGCAAACATTTCACTCTCTAGAGGTGTGCAAAGCTGGTAGAGACATCCCCAATAAGACTTGCAGCTGTAATTGCAGCGAAAGGTGTTTCTACAAAGTATTGACTTGGGGGCTGAATACAAATGCACGCCAAACTTTTCAGATATTTATTTGTTAAAAATGTTGAAAACCATTTACCATTTTCCTTTCACTTCACAATTATGTGCCATTTTGTGTTGGTCTATCACATAAAATACATTTATTTTTTTAGTTGTAACATGACAAAATGTGGAAAATTCTAAGGGGTATGAATACTTTTTCAAAGCATTGTAGTTGCAAAGTATATGTAGGAAAAAAGTTATTAAAAATTAATTTTTTTTTTTTTTTTTTGCAAACCTGCTTGTGACCATTATGTTATAATTGACCTAGTGATCTCATAATTCTCTGGTTCCTGATCACCAATGGAGACCCAGACTGTCAGTGACAGCTGGGATTTAAAGCCAGCAGATGTGCAAAGGGTTGGATTTTGGCTCTCAATCCCAACTGTTACGGACAGATCAGAATTGTACCTGTTATTGGAAGCAGGCTGTGGAGGTTAGGGAAAATGAAAGCCTGAAGATAAATACTGACACATTCAAGCTGCAGTGGTAACTGCATTGTCTTCCTTCTTTTTTACTTTATTTGTAATGTATTTAAATAATAGTGAAACATTTAAAAAAGCCAAAAACATCTTTTGTATTTTTGCACATTTGCTTATTAAAAAAAACAGCTGGGTTTTTATTACAATAGTGTATCAAATATATACTTAAATATTTAAAATGATTTAGGTATGCAAAATAGTTTTGGCTTTATTGTCAAGTTGGCTCACGCTGCCTAAATTTGGCCTTGTCACGTAAGCATCCGTGACCTCTGGTCATGAAAATGTTAAAAGAAACCTGTCGTGAGAGAAATGTCTGGCACTGCTGACTACTCTCACTGAAAACCCTTGTTGCATGGCTGCCATGTTGAACCTTCTTGTTTTTTTTTTTTAAGTCATTCAGCACAAGTATCTATAACGACTTTTAAAATACTGTTACTTTCCTTTTTGCGTTCTCATTCAGGATCATAAATTTAGAAAGCCAGAGGGTGAGCATAACAGCCAAGCAAATGACATTTTCAAATCTTCATTATGAAGCTTACATGTTTGTTTATCTAAAAAGATAAAGACTATTATTATTATTATTATTATACAGGGTTTATATAGCGCCAACAGTTTGCTCAGCGCTTTACAATATAACGGGAGACAATACAGCAACAGTACAGTTCAATACAAGAGGGTTAGGAGGGCCCTGCTCCTTGGAGCTTACAGTCTAAGAGACTAGTTCACTGGATTAAACATCACCATCTCCCTGAGCCCTCCACAGCCTTACGTACATATTGTAAAATTAGACTGAACCATATAACAGGAGGCTACAGCTCCAAACATAGCAGTGTAAGAAGCCGCATAATTAAAAATATATTAGGCTTTCATGTGACTCACATTGAAGATTTACTTAGTGGGTTTTCTGTTTTTAGCACAGTTGGAATTTATTTTAGGAATTAGCTGGTAAAGTATTGGCTTTATTTTACTGTTAAAGGGAATCGGTCATAAAGAAAGCTATCTGTCTCTGTAATGTTTGCTGCAAATTACCACTCCCCAGTTGCCGGACTGCATGTTATTTCCAGCACAATTACTTTGCTTATGAAGCTGAATTTGTTGACCTGCCCTGGAGTTAGTATAGCAGCCATTAGTTTGCAGATAGATGATTTCATTACAGGCTTTTGAAGCCATTGTTTTTCTTCCTGACAGATTTTTTTAACAGTCATGTTCAAAGCTGTATGACAGGGCATGCTTGAAAATGACCAGCTGGCCATAGAGGGCAGAGATGGACAGAGGACAAACAGCCGGGACCATAATGCCATAATGCATTGCCTACATTATTTTAAATGTTCAAATAGGAGGACAGTCCTATTATTTTTACAACTTTTTTTTGCCATCAATAACTGTAAAATAGAATGAATATTGAAATAATATTTTAGTTTAAATAACAAAGTAGTACACTAGCACCACACCTTTCCAGCTGTACATTGTTAAAACTGTTCATTATTGTGTGGAAATGAATGGCGGAGTGAAGGATACTGTTCTCCTATTTCAGAATTGTTTTGTCTTTCTCATGCAGAACCTCTGGATCTGTTTAATATGTGGTCACATTGGCTGTGGTAGATATGTTAGCAGACACGCCTATAAACATTTTGAAGAGACGCAGCATACTTACGCAATGCAGCTTACCAATCATAGAGTCTGGGATTATGCTGGGGGTGAGTACATCTGTTCCTACTTTTAGTTTTCAGTTTTTCAATACGTTTTTAATACGGTTGAATATTTTGTATATTCTATTATAGGCTTTTATATCTCAAAGCTAATATACACATTTATTGTCCTTTTTAAATAGTTAATTTGGGCCAAGCTGGCCCAAACAAACTATTTACTGCATTAATAGGTGTGCTTGCTGGCTTCTCTGTATTACCTGTATGTAGCCTCAGTCACATAGAGTATTCAGCACTGTGTTCCGGCAGTGGGACAGCAGCTCAGCCATTCACATATATTCTATGAATGAATAAATACAAAGCTTCCTCTGATTGGCTATAGCAGAAATGCCAGGAAATGTCAGTCTCCCATCTCATTTCATACCCATTCATAGGATATAAAGTTTCCAATGAAAGGCACTCAACCTGACCTTTTTGCTCTCGGATTGAGATGCGATGTCCTTGTCTCACTAACAGAACATAGTGCTGTATACTGTATGTAGCTAAGGCTACATAAAATAATGACCGTGCACCCAACACACGCACCTGTTAGTGTAGTAAATAGTTCTTCTGGGCCAGCTTGGCCTAAATAAACCATTTTAAAGGGATATTAAATGTGGAGATCCGCTTTTAAGTTCTAAAACCAGGACTTTTTTTTTTTTTTTTTTCTTATTGCATTTCCTTCAGATAACAAAAAGTCCCAGTAATTGTTTCGTCCCCTCGGCTCCCTAAGTACTTATGTGACTCCTATCACTATCCAGCACTTTGCCCATCTGCAGCAGCACTTGTCTGTGTCTCTTTCCTCACGGGCTGCAGTTATAACAGTGGGAGGTGTTGTCAATCAAATCCTGTGTGGAGGGAGCCGTGGGTGAGGCAGAGCCACACTGTGTGTGTCTATGGATGCACACAGTCTGGCTATGGATGCACACAGTCTGGCTTGGTAGCGAGCCTGCACATCTACCCCCATAGCAAGCGAATTACTATGGGGGTAGAGATAAGAAGGCCTGTAAAAAAACAAGGTCTTTTTTCTCTTACTTTTTTTTTTTTTTTTTTCTGGAAAAATTGAAGAAAAAAATTGTGCAATATGTTCTTTTACAATGATAAATAATATATCTATGACATGGTATTCAAACTATAGTTTGCTTGTGAGCTCCGTCTTGTATCTCCTACAGTTGGGTGATTGTTGGGATACAGTAGATGATGGTTTATGCCCTCCTCATTTCAGGCCATAATTAACAGGTAAGAGGGTGAATTTGTCTGACAAATCTTTTTTAACCTTTATATCAATTCTATTAAGGTTCTCCACCATCATAGCATAATGTTTACCTATAGCTGGCCAGTAAATTGGTTTTTTTTCTCTTCCTCCTCTCAGTAAAATGGTGAGACCATCTAGTGTTTGGAAACATTTCCTCAATGCAATTTCTGCTGAGAGCTAAGCTGCCGTTAGCAAATTTTTTGAGAATAAATATTCTTTTCCAAATGGAAACAGGATGAAAAAACACATCCTTGCATGCCAAAGGAGCCTTAAAGGCATTAAAAATTACTTTATGGAATTAAAGGATGAGGACCTTAATGAACGTGCAAGTAGCTTTTCCCTCCAGAGTTCGCATTCCAGAATCACTTTTTGCTACGGTTGCATTAAAATATATGTGTAACGGTGCCGATGCTACATATTCGCACTCCAAAGGTTTCGGGGAGTGCTTGAGCACAAGAATCACTACTCGTACTTGCCAGTAAAAGACAGATATTGGTGCATCCCTACTTTCTGCTGCTTCTAAATCATCACAATCTGTTTCCTCACCAGCAGCATCTTCAAGTAAGGAAGTGTTGCAAACCACTGCCTCACAAAAAAAACACCATAATACCTGTTCTCATGTATAGTTGAAATGTTCTTAACATGCAGTCCATGTTCCATTTGTAATAAGAAATATACAATTTTAAAAATCAACTTTTTAGTTTGTTTACTTGAATAAGTTGTACTTTTATTTCAAGAATAATACTTAATTTCACCTTCCCAGTGTAACAAAATGACCTTCAATTTGTAAACTACTCCAAACCTAATTTTTTTTTTCAATTTTTCCTGAAAATTTCGATTTGTTTTTTCCCCAGAAAAAAACTGGGAAAAGTTTTTTTTTTTTTTTTTTTCTTTCTTTTTTTTTTCTTTTTTTACCTCATGGCTTCAAACTTTCTGGAAATTTTACATCTCTATAATGGGGGTAGACACACAAGAGCAGGAGCAGAGTTTTCTGGTGGGGGGACTCCAGAAGAGTAGGTTTGGGGCCGCTCTGTGCAATACCATTGCACAGAGCACAAAGAAGGCAAGTATAACATGTTATTTTAATAAATCTAAAAAAAAAAAAAATATATATATATATATATATATATATATATATATATATATATATATATATATATACATACATACACATACACACACACACTTTACTTTACAGCTGTTTTTAATTGTATTATTTATCCATGTTTAAAATAGGGCTTGACAAATCCCAGGCACCAGGTCACCATGGTGACTAGAAATTACATCCTGGCACCTGGACTTTTGTCAGCCATCTGCTGTCAGGCACTGGGTGCTCCTTCACTGATCCAGGGATTTGAAATCCCTGCGGCTAGTGGTTATAAAGTCACTGAGGACATTTACTGGTATCTCTTCTGTTATAACAAGCTATACAGTACAGTGTGTGTGTATTTTTATGAAGCTAAATACCTTATTTCACAGCGCCGTTGTGCAGTCACATGACCTCCAACCACTCTCCTCCCTCAATCTAAGGACTACAGCAGAAGGGGCTGAGATCCCCCTCTGACGTCAGCCGGGAGGTCACGTGACCGCACAGCGGCACTGTGAAATAAGTTATTTAGCTTCATCATTTTAAACAAACAAGCTGTACTGTATAGCTTGCTATAACAGAGAGGATATCATTAATTGTGCTCATTGACTTTACAGCAACACGGAATAGTGGCAGGAGGGGAGGGGCGAGGAGATACTCACACACTCTAGGAACCGACAGGCAGTGAGGGAGAGCCTCTGAACACAGTGGGATGATGGAGGCACGTAAACTGACCATGATATCATGGATCAGTAGCCATGATTATCCTGGTCAGCACGCCTAAGGGGGACACAGTAACAGGCAGGATCAACCAGGTATTTTACAGCATAGAATGGGATGAATGACACTGCAGAAGCACTAGGCTATTTATCGTGCTTTAAAGGAGCAGAGTTACAACATCTCTCCTATCTGTACCTCAAGGACAAGCGGCATTCTATCTGGTTAGCACCGTAACAGCGCTGACCAATCAGAATCAGTCTAGCCTGTACTGTTAGTGTTGGGAGAAGAGGAGAGAAAGCTGCGGGGATTTCAAATCCTCGGACCGGTGAAGCTGTAACCCGGTGCCTGGCAGCAGGGATCACAGGACACTGGTTCAGCGGGGAAGGGGGGGCCAGTGTAAGGTCACCTTACAGATTTTCTGTAAAGGTGAACTTATACTTTCAATGTGTCATCCCAACCCGTCCACATAGCTTTTCTTTTCTTTCTTGTAGCGCCATGCAGCTGATTTAAAAAACTGTCTATTAACTTTTTTAGCTGGCTCCTAGATTCAAAGCAAATATATCAAACCCTGATTTAGAAAATCAGATATTTGACTGATTAGCTTTTCCAGATGACCCCACAAAATGTCAATAAACTGTAAATGTATGTGTTTTCAAGAGCCTCCTTCAAATTAAGAATTATACCTATTGGACTAGTTTTTTGTTATTTCCAAAAATTATAGCTGTTATGTGTATAAGTAGCAGATGGGACCACTTGGATTAGAAGGTGAAGACCATGGGTGTCCAAACTTTCTTAAACAAAGGGCCTGTTTACTGTCCTTGAGACTCTGTGGGGGCCAGACTGTGGCCAGTGCGAGTAGAAAATGCCTGACGTCAGAGGGAGTAAACAATGCCCCATCTTTGGTATTAGTTTGATGAATAGTGAATAGGGGAAGAAATGGTTCCCCATCATTGGTGTCATTGGAAAGAATAGTGCCACATCATTGGTGTCAGTGGCAGGAAATATGTCCCACTGTTGGTGTATGTGGGAGAAGTAGTGCCTTGTATCCTAGTGCCCCAAGAGTAGGATAACGGCAGGCAAAGAGCTGCATCCAGCCCCTGGGCCACAGTTTGGAGACCACTGCTCTAGACAAACATGTACTCCAAAGATGATATATACATAATGACCCAGGTAATGTAGAGCCTGGCAGAACCACTTTGTTTTAATTATTAGAGGTTCTGAATTTTTGGATTAAAGTTGAGTGCCTATAAAGAGGACCTCTATTCAAAATGTTTTATTTTTGGGCAGAAAGCAATAGGAGAGATATTGTCTATAAAACTATTTATTTTGCAGCACCTTGATAGAGATCCAGCTCTGAGAGGTTCTGAAAAGGTTCTGTAAGTTCCTTCTCAAACTGCTACAGTATATCTGCATTTGAGATTTGAATCTCTAACCTGTAACCAGCAGGAGCAGTGAAGTGACAAAGGATCCACACAAATTGTTTTTGAGTTGGAAGTCCTTTTAAAGGTGGTTTTCTATGTGAACTGTAGTTTAATTTAATCTCTTTCTAGTCTTAGTGAAGAAGATTCAGCCAGTTCCAGCAGAGTTCAGGATTTTAGTGTTTTTCATCATTGCAACTGAGCCAACTTCTGTTAAATGTTCATAGTTTAGATAAAGAAAATCGTCCTTAATTGTCATCACCTCCTAAATGTCGGCAGTCATTTTTTTTTTTTTATACTACTTATGAGTTATGTGTATACCTTAAAGACAAACTTTCACCAACCATTATTTTTTTTATAAAAGAATTAAATATTTTTAATTGTACAGTCTAATTCCAATAATTTGCCATTTTGTTTTTTAGCAATGTACTGTTATGGTAATAACCCTCAATAAAAATGTATTGTGCCAAAAAATTCTGCCCTGGAATGAAGTGTGGGGAAATCTATCCAACAGGGAGATAGACCTCTGTACTCAAATTAAATGTTTGGCTGGAATTGGACTTTGAAAATATCCAATTTCATTGTTTCAAGATGAAAATAAAAAAATAAACAAAACAAATGGCTCCCTTGTGTATGTTCTATTAATGTCTTTCTAGATTGAATTACTAATGACAACATGGCTGTCACCTGTCAATAGTTTTTGATTTGTGTTCCTGAGTTGTATTTATGTATTTTAAATATACACTGTAAGTAATCAGCAGTGCTTTGTCTGTTCCCTTTCTCTAGACAACTATGTTCATCGCCTGGTTGCTAGTAAGACCGATGGAAAAATTGTTCAATATGAATGTGAGGGAGACACGTGTCAGGATGAGAAGATAGATTCTCTGCAATTAGAGGTGGGTAACTAGGTGGACCTATATTGAAATTTTAATCTAAAGCTATGTTAACAGTCTTGTAATGTGTAGAAAACGGAGCTACAGGCATCTTCCAGTGCTGATTTACCTGAACAAAACCTAGGAATTTAATAATGTGCGTTCTGTTGAAGGGAAAGGGGTGGAATTTTGTAGCTGACTTCTCCTTCTGCAGAAATCATTTTACCAATCATGTGACCAAACCTGTAAATTGCCAAGCTATTGAGTACTTTTTATAGATGCTGAAATTTATTTATTTTTTTTTACACATTTACTTTAAGTCAATGTAAATAGAATTGCTGGGTTTGGCAAACAGGAACAGAAGAAAAAATACTCTTTTGTCAGAATCTATGCATTCCTAGCACTTTGCTTGCAATTGTGCTCCCTTAAAGTTGCCTTCCTCTGTTGAACTGGGTGTTCGCCTGCCTGACCAATTATAGTTCCATCATCGATGCAGGATAGAGGGAGCTTTACAGCAACAAGTGCTTAGGTAAGTAAAACTACTGAACACCAATATTGGGGATTATATTTTGCTGGTGGTTATTGCTGGCGGGTTGGAGGAATCTTGCCTTCTCATGTTCTGGGATTCGGGACGATTTGGTTGTCCCTTCAATGCTGGACTTGTCTATTGCAAAGACACCCAGCCAGAATCCAGTAAGGAATTGATTGGTATGGCCTTCATCAATCATAATGGACGAAATCAAGCCACTCTATAGGAAGTGGACTTGATCCTCACTTGGGGGTCTGGTTCTCTTGATACCAAAGTTTCTTCCTTGTCTGCTATCGGCATTTCTGGCACTAAAAATTGGCAGGTAGTTTTTCTCAGTCTTCAGCGACTGGATCTGAGGGAATGGGCTGTCCATCCAGAAGTCTTTCAGGCCCTTGGTTACAGTTTGGGAACACCAGATATAGACCATTTTAACCACATGTCTACTGGGGTAATTCTGACAATTCTCTTACATATAAAAATATTATTCTTTGCTTGAAAATTAGTTAGCACCCCCAAACATTACATTTTTTTTTTTTTTTTTTTTTTTAAGCAGAGGCCCTAGAGAATAAAATGATGGGTGTTGCAATTTTTTATGTCACACAGTAGTTGCACAGTGGTTTTTCAAATGCAAATTTTGTTAGAAAAAAATACACGTTAATGAATTTTAGTGAACACAAATATAATACCCAATTTAAAAAAAAAAAAATATATAAAAGATTGTTACGCCGAGTAAAAAAAATACCAAAAACATCACACTTTTAAATTGAACATGCCCATAGAACGGCAACAAACTATAGCACTTTAAATTGTCCATAGGCTATGCTTTAAAAGCCTTTTACAGGTTACCAGTTTAGAGTTACCCAGGTGGTCTAATGGTACAGTTACTGCTTTTACTCTGATGTTTGCTGTGATACCTCACGTGTGGTGCGATCACTGTTTACATTTGCATGTGGGACTGGCCTGCGCGTTTACCTTGGTGTGTGAGGACGAAGGCTCTAAAGTTTTTAAAAAACTTTATTTTTTTTTACACTGTACTTTTTTTTTTTTTTTTTTTTTAAATCACTTTTATTGCTATCACAAGAGATGAACATCATCCCTTGTAACAGCTTGGGCCATGACAGATCAGCTTTATGGAGAGATAATGGGGTCTATTAGACCCCAGATCTCTCCTGTGGCCTCCAGTGTGGCTGATCACACACCGATAACCGGCCAGTAAACAAAGTCAAAACTGGAAGTGACAAAATCCTCACTGCTTCCAGTTTTTTAAGTCACATAGTGGGAGGAACAACATCAGCTCCTCCCACTGTGTCTGGGGGAGCCGATTCAGCTGGGCGATTCTTTACCATGCTCCCCAATTGCAATTCAGAGCCCTGTAAAGGTGGTGGTGGGAGGGGGTGCGACCCCCTTCCATGAGCTGTAAAAGTAATGCAACAGCTGCTAGCATTCCTTTTTATGCAAAAGAGTATTGCCTACTGTAAAAAATTATACCAGGATCATGGTTGTAGCCTCAACCATGATCCCGGTATAACTATTTTAATACCAGGTCATGTATATACATATGGCGGTGTTTGAAGTGGTTATTTCAACAACAAGCCTTCCAGATTCAACAAAAACTGGCCTGTTTTACCTTAGAAGTAGATGCTCTGGTGATGCTGTGGGATCAGTTCAACTTTGACCTACACCTTTCCCCCATTCCAGATTCTTCATTGACTACTTTTGCAGGATCAGGAAGAACATTCCAGTGATCCTCATTGAAGTGAATTGGCTCAGGAAGACATTGTATTCAGACATACTCCAGTTACTGGCAGATGCTCATTGGGCCCTTCCGGATCTTGCAGATCTCCTGTCCCATGGGCCAGTGTTCCTTCTCAGTCACTGGCTTTCATGGCATTGCAGTTGAAGTCATGGTCCTAATGGACATTGGCCTTTCAGATTCAGTCATGCCTATCCTCTTGAAGGCTACAGAGAGTTGACATCTCCTAAAGGAAAGCCTACTTTTCTTGGTGGGAGATCTTTCATCATAGGGAATACTCTGTGAGATGTATTCTGGTCTGGACCAACATTTGGATTGAGTACCATTTAAGGGACAAATTTCAGCCTTGCTTTTTTGTTTCAGAGACCCCTTGCACTCTGGTTATTGTATTTTTACAGGGGTAGCACTGGCATTATTCAGACTGGTTGTTCCAATTTGTCCCCTTTGGGATCTCAGTCTAGTTTTCTTGGATCTCCAGAAGCCATGCTTCAAATCTTTTATAGATATACTCTTGTCTGACCTTACCCTTAAGGTGTCTCTTCTTGTAGCTATCTCCTCTGCGAGGATGGTCTCTGAGTTAGCGGTAGTTGGTGATATCTGTTGTGTGAAGTGCTGTTCTAAGTTCCATATGTCCTCTCCAGTCTGAGATGTAAGATGCTGGCTATGAGAGCAGGTTCTAACTCCAATGCTCGCAATTACCAGGAGGTCAGGCACCGATAATATAATTCAGTTAAAACAGATTTATTCAAGGTCTTTACGCTGATCCTTGCCTGTAGCCACAGAAAAGAAGAGAGTCAAGAAGGGGGTGAAGAGGGGGAAGGATGGAAGTGGACCCTAATGCAAACTACCAAAATTTGTAGCAGAAAGAGTAAACGTGGTGAAAATTATTTTGCAACCCCCAACTGCTGTACATTTTATACAATTCCCCAGCCTAGAGAGCTGGTTGCTGATTTAAGCAAACTTTTTTTTTTCTTAGGAATCTTCTCTGGGAAGGATTGAAAGCTTGAATTAAACTTTAAACCTTAAGAATTCCAGGTATGGATATTTTATACAGTTACATTGGTCCAGCTTGGATAGGTCCATACCTGGCCAATCTCCCTGGAAACCGGAACGTACTAAAGTAGACGTTGGATGCCGGTTGGACGGTACTGGATAAAGCACCGTTGGGCGACCATTCCAAAGTTAACATTGGGGAACTGAGCTGGCTTTGAGTCAGCTCATTTCCTAGGCACTGTACAGAGCCAGTCCAAGCAGCTCAACACCTACAAACTGCTGGAACTGCTCATAGAGAGACCAATCACAGTGATAATATGTAAACCGAGTGTTTACCTCTATGTGCCCTCCCCTTCCATCATTCATTACTTCCTGAGCACTCTAGAGATCACGGCGGCAGCACATTCAAGTAAAGTTTAACTCTTTTACCCATCCTTCTCTCCTACACATATAATCTCCATGCTGTCTGTATAAGTGACTTGTATATTAACTCTTCACCTCTCTTATCCTGCACTTCTGTATATTAACTCCTTCATTTCCATCCTCCCACTATATGTGACCTGTACACTTCCCCTCCTCCTTCTGTGTATGACCTGTCTGCTATATCTAGTGCACCATTGCCAAGCACAGTGTTTTAACCCTCTCAATACCAGCATGTTTCTTCATTCCCAAAAATTGTGGGGTGTCAACTTTCCAAAGTGCACATATTTGGGGGTTTCACACTGTCCTGGCATCTCTGTTTTAATGGTAAGTAAGGCTACATTGAGACATGCCCCTCTATGGGAGGGTGACTTTCAAATGCAATCAAATGGATAAATAAATACATCAATAAATAAATATGTAAAAATGTGTGTCCAAACACAGAATAAATAGTCAACATTCATCATCCTAGCGCAAAAATCCATATCAGATATAATTAAAAATCTTTTTTTACTTTATTAATACCATAAAATGAAGCCTTTAAATATATAAATAAATATACATGTACAGTGCCTTGAAAAAGTGTTCATACCCCTTCAAATGATAGGAAGATGGATGGAGCCAAATACAGCACAATCTTAGAAGAAAACCTGTTAGAGTCTGCAAAATACTTGAGACTGGAGCGGAGGTTCACCTTCTAGCAGGACAACGACCCTAAACATAGGAATGGTTTAGATCAAAGCATATTCATGTGTTAGAATGGCCCTGTCAAAGCCCAGATCTAAATCCAATTGAGAATCTGTGACCAGACTTGAAAATTGCCAATCACAGATGTCCTCCATCCAATCTGACAGTGCTTAAGCTATTTTGCAAAGAATGGACAAACATTTCACACTCTGGTAGAGAATTACCCAACAAGACTTGCAGCTGTATTTTCAGCGAAAGGTGGTTCTACAAAGTTTTGGCTCAGGGGGGCTGAATACAAATGCATGCCACACTTTTCAGATATTGATTTGTTGAAAGTCCCGAAAACCATTTTATTATTCTCCTTCCACTTCACAATTATGTGCCACTTTTGTGTTGGTCTATCACATAAAATCCCAATAAAATACATTTACGTTTTTGGTTGTAACATGACAAAATTCCAAGGGGTATGAATACTTTTTTCAAGGCACTGTATATGTGTGCATAATGACATATCAATAAATTAAACATTACAAAGACTATAACAGAATATCCAAAAATGAAATAAAGGCCACAAAAATTGAAAATGAACTACAGATTGCTAAAGATAGCAGGACCAACTCCAAAACATTCTTCAAATATATT